ACTAATGTTTTTTCCCTTAAATATCAGCTGCTATGATGAATTACCTTCTTATTTGAGCTGATTAGCTTAGTTTCTTTTGTTGGTTGCAGGAAACAAGAATGGCTTGCTCTTGCCACACAATACCACTGACCAAGGTGATTCCACTGATATTTATCTTTGGATTATTGGATCTCTGCAATGCTTGTCCTAAATGTTATAATTTTTAATCTATCTATCTTTAATATCTCTCTAGATCCACCCCCTGGGACAAAAGAAAAAGCAGCCCCTTGAGAAATGTCTTTCTAACATTATCATGGAAATATAATGTCTTGAGTATCTTGCAGCAGCATGTGTGATGTGAAACCTGTAGAAAATGTTTATATTTATTTTAGTTGACCCCAGTTCACTTGATTCATCTTGGGTAATGATTGATGAATTTACTAGTCTCGTTGAACATGTTTACCTTCTATGGATTAAGTAATTGTAAGTTACTGGCTGACTCATGCAATAGTTGCTTATTATAGAGTCGATTCTAGAGAATGTTACCCATATAATTTTGTCAAGAGGGCTTTTTGATGCGGTATATATTTTGTTCATCTTTTTCTCCCGTTTCCTCTATACTATATTTATACTTCTTGGAGAATAACACTTGCTGAGCATTGTTACAAATGTCCCTAAAAAGATATAAGAACCCAATTTGAAAACCTTGATATCAGTTGGCATTTTACTGATGTAGCAGGTTACATAGACGAGATGGTGAAAAGTGCATTTATGATAAGAACAGCCCTATTCCTTTATAAATGTAATTGTAAATAAATTATAAAGCAGACAGGGGAAGTTTGATTCATCCAATTATCATATTCTAGTTTGATATTTTATCAAGCATTAGAATGACTCTGAAAGCTGTTGTTTATCTGCAACCATCCTTGATCTTCATTTCTCTTGGTCAATCATATTACAAAAAACTTGATCACTGATGGGTTGATGAGCTTATTTATGCCTGTCAATTATGATACTTTGTGGGGTGGCTATGTAGGCATCTGTGGATAATAACTTACTAGTACTTTTGGTTGTATGACAAAATCTAATGTTTCTAAATTGCCTTCAAAGTCCACACTTACTATGCTGACATTTGTTGGTATTGTTATGGCTACTGCAAAAGAACTTCAACATTTGAGAAACAGTCTACCGGATCAAGTTGTTGTTCAGCGTGTAGAAGAAAGATTATCTGCTCTTGGAAATTGTATAGCATGTAATGACCATGTGGCACTCGCGCACACTGATCTGGACAGGGTATTTCCTTTTATTTATTTTAGACTTTGTCTCCATTACTTTCGTATTGTTTTCTATTGGAAATTGTTCTGGAGGGAAGCTTATATTGTCAGCTTAATGTTTCTTTTCTCTTCTCTCTTTCTCTGGCAAAATTTTTCTTACACAATTATTCAAACTTTACAGTTTAAAAATAAAAAAGAACCCTCAAAAGTGATAGTGGCTGTTGAATTGTTTATTCTGTCTTGTGGTAACTTAATTTGTGATTTAAGAATGTTTTAATCTTTTATTAACAGGGGATCATTATGCTTGTGGAATTGGAAATATCATATCTTCTAATAGCCATTTTCACTTATTAAAAAACGCAACACCATAAAGAGTTAAGTCTAGTGGAAGGTATTAGTCCCTTATAATGTGATAAATTAATGTTAGAATCCTCGTTGGGAGTAGTGTTTTTATTTAGTGCTCGACTGTGTCTCGAATAGAATTATTTCTAAAAGGAAGATGCCTATATGCAATCAATAAAAAATGCACAGCACCATAATTTGCTTCTATCTTGATTTTTTATATGGCTAGCATCAATTTGTGAACCTCTGGTTCAGGAAACTGAGGAGCTGATTACAGACGTGCTGGGAGTAGAAGTTTTCAGGCAGACCATTGCCGGAAATATTCTTGTTGGAAGTTACTGTGCCTTCTCCAACAGAGGTGGTTTGGTAAGTAAAAGAAATTGCAGATTCTTTGTAAACTGTTTAAACATCTAATTCTGTTTGGACCCCAAATTTGGTGCAGGTTCACCCTCACACTTCGATTGAAGACTTGGATGAGCTCTCTACACTTCTTCAGGTTCCATTGGTTGCCGGGACTGTGAATCGTGGTAGTGAGGTCATAGCTGCTGGCATGACTGTTAATGACTGGACTGCTTTCTGTGGATCAGACACTACAGCCACAGAGCTCTCTGTGGTTGAGAGTGTTTTCAAGCTTAGGGAAGCTCAACCCAGTGCTATTGTGGACGAGATGAGGAGATCGCTTATTGATACCTACGTTTAAGTAAGTTGGAGTTTTAAGTTTTCAATGGCTATAACTAACTGATATTAAATGTATTCTTGCCGGAAGCTTGGACTTGCGACATTGCGACCGTATCTTCGTCGCCCAAAAAGTGAGAAATCTATTTCTTGGGGCAGCTCCACGTTTTATTGTATATATTTGACTTTTTATAAGAAAAAGATATTATTTGTGTTCTAATTGTTCTGGTAACAAAAATTATGTTTTTTTTCCCCTTTTCTTTAAGATTATAAACTTTGGCACTTTTTTGATTATGATTTAATGTATCCATCGAGAATTTTACTGTTTTATTAAAATTTTATAGTACCAATTTATGGCAGGCATCTTGATTGTGGTTGGGATCAAACTCCCCCCCCCCCCCCCTTGATGCTATTGGTTAAACATGGTTCTATATAATTGATAGTTTCTGTTTAGTCAAATCTTTGGAGAGAGAGAGAAAAAAAAAAAAAGGAAGCAAACTGGTGAGTTGGCCATAGGGGAAATACAAAAAGAAAAAGAAAAGAGAGAACCTGCTGTAGGAATCTAGTTTGATATGATTCATTATTTTAAATGTGATTTTTGTTTGTCAAGATTATACAAGTTGATTATTGATTCAACCAGGATCCCAAAATGATCCTCAGCATAATCCATAACATCCAGGTTGTGGGTGTCTTGCGAGTCAAAACCAATAAATCAGCTATAATATTTTTTTAATAAAAAAAATTGAGGGTTTGTTTGATTCATTTGTCCATTTTTTTATGTAGAGTAATTTTTTCAGAACAAATTTAAAAAATGGAAAAAAAATGTTTGAATTACTATTTTGAAAAAATATCTGAAGTTGTACAAAAGGATAAAATAATTATTTATTATATTAATATAATTGTCATTAAAAAAAATATGATGTTTTTTACTTTTTTCTTTAATTTCATATTATATAAATAATAGTAATAATAATATGAAAAACACATTTTGAGCAGGTCTTTTGTGATAGAGAAATAGGCTTTTTTTTTTTATTTTCAAAACAAAAAGTAACTTGAAAATAAAAAATCCAACAGGCTTTTTTTAACCTCGATCCATCAGGTTCTAACACTTTATAACTCTTTTTTTTTTTTTTTTTTTTGCGGATTAACACTTTCTAATTTTGAATAGGTTACAGTATATAAAACTCCCCAGGATTTTCTTGTAATTGCACATAACTTTCTTTATCTTTAAATATTTAAAATTAATTTTTAATTTTTTTAATTTTTTTCCCAAAATCTTCTACGTTAACAGCACTAGATCAAGGATTCGATCTTGTCTCATACCTTCAGTAATTGAAGAAAAAAGAAAAAAATATCATGACCCTTTTTTAAAACAATCATCAACCATTATATATTATTTTCTTTATTTAAAAAATGTATGATATTTTTTGAGGAGTTGAATGTTAAAAATATAAAGTATTTTTAGTCTTTTGAGATGTAGTTGTTGCTTTTTTTTTTTCAAAATACCTCAATTGATGAGTTATTTTATATTTATTATAGAGTATTTAATAGGGATAAATATGAAAAGATATGATTAGTTTGAAAGTAGGTAACTATTTTATTAGGGTGAAATTCGGTTAAAAATACCTCATATTTTTTATTGGAAGGAGTGAGTGATAATATGTATAATCTTATTTTTCATATCATTATCAAGTAGTAGTACCTGAATATTATACATACATAATATTATGTCCTCATAGAGATTTAAATAGTGTAACCCATGTTAACACCCACAATGATATATATAAAATTTTGTTATCTTTGATTATATTTTAAATTTCTTTAAATATATTATGTTTATATCATATTCACAACACTAACATATAACACAAAATATGAATGGGCGTATCATAATTTAAACTAGTAATAATATTTTTTTAAAGGATAAAGGAACAATATACCTCCTAAATTATTGGTTGGATAACATCGTAGACGCTAAACTACATTGCTCTTTTACCCCTTTTTTTTTAAATTACATTTTAGTATTAGTAATATTAAAGTAATTTATCCAATCCAAAAATATTACGTACTTTGGCATGAAGATTTAATAAATTAATAATATTTTTCAAAAAGGATGGGATATTTTAAATTATAATTTAAATTGAAATTGAATTTTTTTTATAAAAATTTAAATAAAAGTTTAAATTGATAGTAAATAGAACTGTTTTAGTTTTTTAAGGCTAAGCGGAGAAAAGATCTCATAATTAGTTGCAATAGATGATTTTGCATTATTTTTTTGGTCCAATAAGATTTTTGTAGGAAGAAGAAAGAACAGAGATCTATATGTAATTTATAACAAACGTTTTATTCAAGCATGTGGTTTGTCGAAGATTTATTTTATATTCTTTGAATGTCAAATCGATGTAATCAAGCAAAATTGAACTCAATTAAAACCTATTCTGTCCCCCTATTTAAAAACATTCAAATTCAAACTATTTTATATAATAGTAAAATAAATATAATTTAACCTACCTGAGATATAATAATTTGATTTAGATGAAAAAAAATCACCAATATCCTTTCAAATCAAATATAAGATATTTAGATCTGAAAATAAAACTTTTAAAAAAATAGAACCCCCAGTAGTTGTGATCAACTTCAGTGAAGATCGAAGGAATAAATAATCAATTTTGGTCAAAGATATAAGTCTTGTATACATGATCATATAATGTTTAAATTAACATTGACCAAAGCTTACAATCGTAAGAAAGAAAAAAAAAAAAACTAATTGACTATCTACAACTCAAAAAGAATAATCTAAACTCTTGAATGTTTATGAGCTCTGCAAATAGGGTTTTGTTTCTCAATGAGTTCACGACCAATCTGCTTATAATCCACCGTACATGAATGTTCTTCTGGATATCTATGTTTTCCACAGAATAAATCTCCACATCGGCACGTGAATCCTGTGACTCCGACCTTTTTGTTGCAACTCTTGCATCTCTTTTTCTCTGGGATTTCATCAGATTCAGTGAGAGAAGCCTTAAAATTCATCTGGATCGAGGACCCATTAGAGGAAGAAGGAGAAGAAGACGATACAGTGATATCTCTCATTGATTCACAGATCTGTTCATTGAGCTTCAGAATATGATCCTTGTAACACTTAGAGCACATGTTTTGATTTTGTTGGGAACCAAAGAAGCCACAGCCATTAGAACAGAGTGGAGGATCCATGATGATTCCAAGAAGATAATTTCTTGAGATCAGATAACTAAAAGCGTTAGAGATTTTGAGAGGCGTTGGGTATAAGCTGAGTGTTGGAGGTTGAATTTTGAGGCTTGTGTGTTTATTTATAGGGCTGGCTTGTGGAAAATCAGATATGTAATAATGATAAATATAATAATATATCTTAACGAAAAAGATTAGATAATATGCCATGAAGGTTTTTGTAAATTAGTAATATTTCTTTTTCTAAAAAAAGGATTGGATAAAATTTAAGTTTAAAATTGAGCCATGTCACTGTCGTCAGGTTCAACAAATTAGTTACCATATCAATCTTATCATCCGAAAGTTCTTATTTTGGAATAATTCATTTATATATTATTGATTGATAATTGATGTGTGTGTATGTGTAGAACATAATTGTGATATCAAATCCCTAGTTTGAAATTTTATTGCCATTAAAATTGATTAAAGTATACTTTTAATTATATAACTTTATATGAAATTTAAATTTGGTCCCTTAATTGTGTAAAATATTTTTTTAATTATTTGATTTTAATGCTGTTAGTTTTAAATAATTATTTTTTATCTTTTTCATTTTTAAAAAAATTAAAATTAAAACGTTAATATTTAAAAATATTTTTTTAATATTTAAAAATTTAATATAAAATTTTTTCATGATAAAACTGACTAGAATTAAAAGATTGAAAAGATGATTCATAAAATTAAAAGAATTTATCCGACTCAAATTTATAAAATTTTGGTATAACATTTCTTTTTCCCTTAAAAGTCGCCTTTTCTCCTATCTTTTCCCGTGTCATATTTTTCATTGATTGCTTTGTTTGTTTATTTCTTTTTTAAATAATTTAGCAAAAACACTACAAATTCTTTTGATGAATTAATCTACAAAATATCATATCTCTTTCAAATTAGAATTAATAAATTTTATATTTTAAACAGATGATAATGCCTCTTTCATAATATTTTAACTATCATTTGAATTATCACGAAGTCTTGATTATCATCTTAGCTTGTGACAGATTACGAGTTCGATCTCGTCTAATACTCTTGCTAGTTAAAAAAATTGTCATGACCTTTTTTTTAAAACAATTATCATACTATTATATACTCCCTCCGTTCAAAAAATATAAAATATTTTTAATCAAATCTCACCCCTCAATAAAGTATTTATCTACTTTCAAACTAATCCTATCTTTTTATAGTTATTCCCATTAAATACTTTATAATAAATATAAAGTCACTATCAATAGGGTTCTTTTTTAAAAAAAGACAACGATTACACCTTGAAAGATTAAAAATGCCTTATATTTTTAAATATCTAACTCCTCAAACAATATCTTATATTTTTTAACGAAGAAAGTATGAAAAATGATGATTATATAAAATCTGTGCATACCATTATGAGGTGGTACCTGAATAATAGACACATAATATAAATATTATGGCCTCCATAGAACACGCTTAAACTTAAGAAGCAAAATTTTTAAAGTGAAGATTATAAATAAATTTCAGTTAAGAAACTTATTTTTAAGTAACTTCCATGAATTTGCAAAAATACTTTCAAGTTCTACGGACTTAGTGATAATTAATTTGTCGTATAAAATGACACAAATACCTTCAAACTCACACTCTTTTGATTGGAGTTGACAGACGTTGATCATCTGCCAATAGGCGTTGACTGTTGGTCGACATTTGTTGACCGGTCACTGGCTGAGGTTGACCAATCAAAATTATCCATGAAAAAAAAATATTTTTATTAAAATTTTAATACTTTAATGTGTGTATATATATATATATATAAGTCAAGTAAATTTTTAATTTTACGAGTGAAACTTCTTACATTTAAATTTTAATATCTTCGCTCTTGCAATATTAATATTTTAATATTTAAAAATTAAATTTCATGAATTTGCAAGTTAAAATTTTTTAATTTAAAAACAAGTCTTTAAAATATTAAAACTTTAATATTATATAAATTCAATTATTAGATTTATAAGTCAACCTCATAGATTTACATATGAATTTACATAAATTTTGTATTGGTTCTTCAGATTTTACAAACTGATTTATGAAATTTGCCAATCATTTTATTAAATTTACAAACAAACTAAGCATTGTTTTACTTTAGTAAGCAGTAAATTTGGATTTGGTTTTGGTGCTAAGCACCCTCGTAAGTACCATGGTGCTCATCAAGATGGTTTACATTTAAAAAATTATTTTTTATTTTTATTAAAATAAAAATTTTAATAAATCTATATTATCATTAATTTAGACAATACATATTTAATTTGAATAATCTAATTTAATATTAAAATTTTTATAATTTTTATAAATTAATTATTTAGATGTACCTGGATAGTCTAGATTTAAAATTTTTAACTACTATTTTTTATCTTTATTTTTAATATTATATTCACCAAAATAAAATTTATAATAATTTAAAAATTAATATTACATCTAGATTGTTCATAGTACATTTGAGTAATCAATTTATAAAAATTATTAAAAATTTTAATATTTAATTGGATCATTTAGATTAAATATGTATTGTCTATATCGGTGATAAGGTGGGTTTATTAAAAAAATTATTTATAAAATAATTTATAAGTTGTATTTTAATACAAAATAAATAATAAAATCTTTAAATATGGACCATCCAAATTATCTAAGCATGGTGCTTAGCATTGAAACTAGATCTATTAAAGTGTCTTATAGATATAAAAGGCTGACTTATAGTGAATCAATTTATAAAATTTGAAGAAACATTGCAGAAATTATGTACTTAATTCACCTTTAAATGTACTATTTTGGTCTGATTCTGTTATAGGTCTTATTCTATTGTTGTGATATATTGTTATTTTTAAACAAATGCGTAATTAAAAAAAAATTGATAGGGGACGAGGGAAGGGAAAAAAAGAGAAGAAAAGAGTATAAAAAAAAAAAAAAGAATATAGAGTGAAGAGAGAAACTCAAAGAGAGACAGTTCGATAGCAATTCTTATTTAATAATAGGCATTTACAAGCAAATGATTAGTGGTGAAAGCACCATAACATTGATCAAAACTCACAGCTTAAAATAATTGGCTTTTGCTTGACTGGAACTCAAAGAGAATCATCTAAAATTTTCAAAGCTTAGGAGCTTTAAAAAGCGGGTTTTGTTTCTTAATGAGTTCACGGCCTATATGCTTATAATCTATTGTACATGAATGCTCCTCTGGATATCTATGTTTTCCACAAAATAAATCTCCACATCGGCACGTGAATCCTGTGACTCCGACCTTTTTGTTGCAACTCTTGCATCTCTTTTTCTCTTGGATTTCATCAGATTTAGTGAGAACAGCCTTAAAATACTCGATCGAAGACTCATTAGAGGAAGAAGGAGAAGAAGACGAAACAATTATATTTCTCATTGATTCATAGATCTGTTCATTGAGCTTCAGAATATGATCCTTGAAACACTTAGAGCACATGTTTTGATTTTGGTGAGAACCAAAGAAACCACAGCCATTAGAACAGAGTGGTGCATCCATGATGTGATTCCAGGAAGATAATTTCTTGAGATCAGAAAGCTAAAAGCGTTAGAGATTTTGAGAGGCGTTGGGTAGAAGCGAGTGTTGGGGATTTTTAGAAGCTTGGGTACGTGTTTATTTATAGGGCTGGCTTGTGAAAAATTAGATATCAAATGATGATAAATATAATATATCTTAACTAAAAAGATTATGTACTATTAATCCATGAAGGTTTTTATAAATTAGTAATTTTTTGAAAAAATGATTGAATATTTTAAATCATAATTTAAATTTAAATTAAAGTTCAAAATTGGTCCATATCAGGTTCAACAAATTACCATATCAATCTTACCCAAAAGTTATTATTTTAATTTGGAGAGAGAGGAGGCCACCTATTTTTTGAATAATAAAAAGAAAAAAAATTAGAAGGATCTAATTCAAAATCTGATAAAACTATCGAGACTGGCAGATTAGTCTTCCCTAATTAACAAATCCTTAGTCAGAAATTGTCCCCACTAAAATTTATAAATTTTGGTATATCATTTCTTTCCCCCTCAAAAACCCCTTATCAAGTCGCCGTTTTTTTTTTTTCCATCTTTTTCAGTGTCATATTTTTTGGTCGAATTAAGTGTCATATTTTTCACTGCTTGTTTTGTTTGTTTATTTACTTTTGAAATAATTTAGCAAAGACACTACAAATTATTTTTGATTTATTAATAGACAAAATATCATATTTCTAACAAATTAGCAATAATAAATTTTATATTTTAAACGGATGATAATGCCTCTTTCATACTATTTGAAATTAGGAAAACATTATATACTTAACCTTATATATTTAATATGCTTTCTTTTAATTAAGTCTAGACATGTGAATTTTTTTATCAATTATTTATTCTATAATAAAATATTATTATTTATCAATTAGGATTCACTTTTCATGATTTAATTGGATATAAGTATATTAAGTATATAAGACTAAATACATAAGTTCTATGCTTTGTCATGATGTTGATCATCTTTGCTTGTGACAGATCATGGGTTTGATATCGTCTAATACTCTTTTAGTAATTAAAAAAAAATCATAATGACTCTTTTTTTAAAGAATATCATACTATTATATATTAGGTGATAATATAATATTTTTGCATATCATTATGAGGCAGTGCCTTAATATTAAACACATATAATATTAATATTACTTATGTCCTCGTACCGCTGAAACTTAAGAAGTTTATTTTTTGACCCCAACAATTGAGGCTTCAGGTGTGAAGCAAGCTAGCTACTTAATGGAGTTTTCAAAGGTTACACTAAATTGCATAATATTTGAAAGAACTTTGAGAATTCATAATTGATTAATTAGCGTTTTATCTTTGATACCAGATGATTATTTTTTAAAAGAAAAAAGAAATTAAAGTGTACTGTCTCTAATGTTGTTGGACATGTGACATGTCTACATTCCCTTATGATTCGTTTGGATCCTTTGATACCAAAGAATTTGTGAAAAGAAAAGAACTTTAGGTAGAAGAGGGTCCAGGAGATTCTATATTCATGGGAAATTTCTTTTTAGTGATATAAAGACTGTATAAATAATAGGTTGTTTTTTTTCCTCATATTGTTGGAGGCTTGGAGCATGGAATGAAATCAGTAACATGGGCTAACCAAAAAAAAAAGTGATTGTTATATATTATAGAGAATTTATAGAAATATATTTATTTTGTATAGATTTTATAAAAAAATATTTTATATTTAATTACAATAATGAAAAGAGTTAATATGGAATTTGAACATGAACTATAAGTTCAGATGGGATTTTGACTCTAAACTTTTAAAATGTATATTTTAAATCCTAAACAATTAAAGTTGAGGATTTTTGCAAATTTAGCCCATATCATAGGATCAAATAAAAATAATAGCACAATCTTTCTTAAATTTGAATAATGATCTTTTAATATTTATTTGAAATTTAATTGATAAAACTACCCTTTTAAAACTATAATGCTCTGGTTTTACAAATGCCCAAAGACCCTAAACACAAGAGAGCAGAGTAGACGAATGAAGAATTAAATTGTTTATCATTTTTATTTTATTAGTTTAGGTATTTTTTTTCTCTGTAATAAGTTAAGAGTTTAAAATCTTTTGTAGACTGTGTTTAATATATTTTGAGCAAATGATAATTATGTATTTTTTGTGTTACTAATATGCGATGCCATGTCAATGATTTACGGCCATATATTAATGATAGACAAGTTTATGTTTGATTATTTGATTATGTTGATCTACAATAATATATTAGTGGTATACTATTTTGTATAATTGATATATAAGCCACATTAATGAAAACTTACAAATACCATTTTATCTTGTAAATATAGGGATGCTTAATCTCATCATTTTTTATAATGGAAAACAGGATTTGAACAATTGTTATGTCAATGGCTCATGCCTTGAAGTACTTGTAAAAGATACAACTTCATATCTTAATGTCATGAAAATTGTCTGCGAGAAATTGTGGTTGAATGCAGGTCAAGAGGTCAAATTAATGGTTTCTTTTAATATTAGGACTTCAACATATAATATTTTAGAGGTCAAGAATGATAATGATTTGATATGGTATTTTAATTCATTAAAAAATTCTAAACTCTTTAACTTTCCATCGATTATCCCTATTTGCAATGAACCTTTGTCCATACAAGACATGTTTAAATCTCGTCATGAAAGAGCTAGTTCCTTAACTTCATGTTCGTCTACATTTACCAATAATAAGCATTGTAGTGGAGCTGATGAGCTTTTGCAAATGGACAATATTAAGGAGGGAGATGTGTTCTTGTAGCATTGATATGGTATGTGTGGGCCTTAATGATTTTTCCTACTCGAGTTTAGGTCATTAGATGATATGTTAGGGATTATATTTGTATTGTTGATGTCGTGCGTGGTAATCATAGGCAAGCTACAAGCCTTATCATTAGTGAATGTGTGAAGCAAAAGTCTTTTACTAGCACTTTTATGTATAAATCATCAACATAACAGTTGTTCGAATTTTATTTTCATAATAATAAATGATGAGATTAAGCATCTTCATAGTTGCAAGATAAAATGACGTTGGTAAGTTTTTATTGATATGACTGGTATATCAATAATATATAACAGTATATCATTTATATACTATCATATATTAATATAATCAGACAATCAGATATAAATTTATTTATTATTGATATACAATCGTATATAAATGATGTAATATTACAAATTAGTAACATGAAAAACACACAAGTATTTGCTCAAAATGGATTAAACAAAATCTACAAAAAATTTTGGGCGCTTAGCTTATCACACAGAATTAAATACCTAAACTAATAAAATAAAAAATCATGAACAATGAGAGACATGTGTTTTCTAGTAATAATTCAAACAAAGTTTCACAATCAATGACTACAAATTATAGATTATGAATAAATGAACAACTATTTGGTGAAGATATTATCGAGAGACATGGAGATGGTGAACGATAGATAATAGATCCCAGCTTATTGTTCAACTTCCAAAAACTATTAGAAGAAAACTTCCAAAAGCCAGAATTTGATGATCACTCTTACAAGTATTAGATAGTGCTATTGAGAACTATTTGATAGTGATCCTCGTGAGGCAATAATGGAAAGAAATAATTGTGAAAGAGGGAGAATAAAATGGTTATGTGTGCAGGAAATTGATTCAATTAGTTGAAGGTTAAACAATTTTGTTGAATGTTAAAATCATTCAATTACACAAGATATATTCTTGGCCAGTTTATGTGGAAATTATTATTGCGTGTTTTATATATTTGTTCTATGGATAAAAAAAATTACCTTCAATTAATTTTATAAATGGGTCATATTCTAAAATATTTGAAAACCTCATCCATAATTTTTAAGAACTTTATTTTTTATGGCTATTGGGCCAATAGGACAATTTTTTTTCTACTGTTAAATTTAAATAAATGTTCGTTAGTTTTGTAAAAAATGAAGTCTAATATGCGATTTTTGTCAAATAAGGGTAAAAAAGACAAGGAGAATGAAATTTGATAAAAATCGCACATTAGGCCCTAATTTTTTAAAAAACAACTCACATTTGTTTAAATTTAATAATTAAGAAATAATTATCTTAACTTTAATTGTTTAGGATTTAGAATGTATCTTTTAATAGTTTAGAACTTAAATTGCCTCTGCACTTATCGTTCAAGGTCAAATTACATATTAACTCTAATTAAAATTGGTTATTATTTAATAATTTTTGGATTCAATGATATCTTCATAAATAAGTATTTGTTTTAAAAAATAATTTATTATTTAATTATTTTAAAATTTTATAATATCTATGGAAAAATGCTTAAGTAAACTGGGTGCATCATTTGTAATCTATCTAATTAAAATCTCCTAAGTTATCTAAATAAAATATTATGTGACATTTTAAGTAATTTTATAATAAAATGCATATTTAATTTTTTTCCTTTTTTCTCTCTATTATCATTAATGTAAAAAATAATTTATATTTAATATTATTTAAATGTCATGTTTTTATTGAACAAATTACAAATGATATGGCCTATCCAATCTATCAAAGAAATTCTCAAATCTGTGTGTATCTCCATATTTTTGTGGCATTTTCTTCCATTTAACATATCATATTATATTTCATAAGCTACTTGAAATAGTTTGTCAAAATAATTAGAAATTCACTCTTTTTTATATTTTGATTATTTTTAAAAGTTTAAATAAATATTATAAATTTTCACAAATAATTTTTTTAAAATAATAAGAGTATCCATTATGAAAAGATGAGACTAGAACACGGATCCCTTTTGATTATTTGGATATTATGTGTATCTTATATAAATATATATATGCACTCAAGATTTCAAACCTTTTTTTTTTTTCAAGATATGCTATGGTCGGTAGTCATAAAACCAATTCGTCGCTATAAAAAAAAAACACTACATTAGCAATTAAAAATTCGATCACTAATCAATGTAAATTCTATCACTAAATGGGTTGGTGACATAAAAAATTTGTCAGTAAAAATACCATCATTAATTCATTAGGTACATAGCGATGATGGAATTAATGACAAAAATGCAATTCTGTTGCTAATTAATAAGGGAGAGTTTCCATCATTAAACAACAATCACTGCTCCATTTAATCCATTTATTGGAATGATGATGAATTAATGACAGACTGGCAACAAAAATTTATTCCGTCACTAATTTGCTTTTTTTTTTTGTAGTGTCTCAAGGAATCTAAACACTATTTAAGAAACTTTTAAGAAATTATTTTCATACACATTTTCAAAAATCAAACTTTGGAATGATGTTTAAGCCGCTTAAACTACTGCCATATGCCACACCCATTTGGTAAGACTTCAATTTGATAAGTTTCAATGAATCATTGTCGAAATAATTAATTAATATTGGTTCATGAACATCTATTCTATATTCTGCATGTTCATGGGGTTGCAGTGCTCACAAAATTTTCACTCACCTTACGCGCTTGGTTTAATAAATGGCCTGTTATCAATGTCATCCCAAAAAAAGAAAATGACTTGTTACGAATTTTATATGTAAATATAAATGAATTATTGATTTTGTAAATAAAAAAAATTAATAAGAGTTATTAATTGATTGATATAACACTAATGTCAATTCATCTGATTGGTCTGTATTTTCTAAAATCTAAAAAATCCATCATCCATCAAATATATACAAATTAAACTTGTGGTCCAACGATATTAATCGATATTAATGCCCAAAGATTGGCAAATGTGGTGTCTTTTAAGGCCCTTAAAACTGGGGGTGGATATACAATGACAAAATAAGAATCAAAATTAAACCCAGTACAAGGAATCTTCTAGAAAAATTGTGAACCTTTAATATTTTTTCACTATAAATTCATACCAAGTGCTGAGTCCAATAAAAACTGAGGAAATTACATAAAGTGAGCAAAAAAAAAAAAAACCAAAAGAAAGTGATCTTAAAGAATCAAAGCAAACAGAAGCAAAGAAGACGATCGACTCAGAAGAAGAAGGAGGAGGAATGGAATGGAAGAAGTATTATCTGGATGCGATTCTGGTGCCTTTAGGGTTTGTAATAACAATTTGTTATTATGTTTGGCTATGGCGTAAGGTTCGAACACAGCCTTTGAGAACCACCTTCGGAATCAACTCTCATATCCGACGCTTCTGGGTTCCTTTCATCTTGAAGGTAATCATAATTATTATGTCTTTATCTATTTTAAAATTATAACTAGTGAAGGCTAAAATACATCTTTAGTTCTTTAACATTACAAAATATTTCCTTTTGGTCCCTTCTCTAAATTGTAGGTTCGTTCAATCCTTTAAAATATAAGTTTAAACTATTGATAAAACTTTTTTAAATACTAACATATTAAGTTTAATTTTGGATTAAATAATAATTTAATTTCTAAATTATAGATTTAAGAATGTCTAAGACCCTAAATTCATTTTTTGTTAAATGTTCCTTTTTAATTTTTGAAAATGATGCATTGTAACCTCTATTGTTAACAAAAATTAATTTTAACAATTAGTTGATCATAAAATGATAGGAAAGAGCGTAAAAAATTAGAGAAAAAGACCAAGAAAATTTTCTTGGTCCTTGTTTGTAATTTTGGGTAATTTTCTGTTATTTTCTTAGTTCTTTTGTTAATGATAGGGACTATATTGTATTATTTTCAAAATTTAAGAAAGAATATTATACCAAAAATGAGTTTAGCATCTTAGACATTCTTGAACCTATAATTTAAAGGCCAAATTGCTCATTAACCTTACAAAATTAACTAACCAAACTAAAACTTTGCATGAAATTAGAGGATCAACAGTACACTTTAATCATTAGTCAATTATAAGTCCAAATAAGTATGATTGGAAATTGGAGAGAACAAAGAGAACCTAAATAAAAAGAAGATGGCAGGGAAAGTATCACAATTACGTAAAAATGCCTTCCTTTTTGTTTGTAATGAAAACATAGCCTGTTGTCCTGTATATATTTTGCATAATATTTTAAATGAATTGTATTATTTATAATTTATAAATAATATAATCTGGTTTATGATACTTCAATTAATTATATAAATTAAAATTTTGATTTCTTCTCCGAATTTTTAAATCACAATCAATGTGTGAGAGAGAGAGTGTGTGTGTGTGTGTGAGAGTGAGAGGCAGAAGAATTAGAGGATTGATCAATTGGTTGAAAATATTTTATGAGCTTTTTCTTCAATGATTACTAATTACTCATAAATCCAAGCATGCCATAATGGATTATCATGACTATGAGAGTTGTTGCTTGATAGTTTCTTTGCATAATTTTTTCCAACTATCCTGGTCTCTTCATGCCAACAAAAAAAAAAAAAGGAACTCCCTTCAATTTTAAATATTAGAGATAATTGAAAAGTTTATTTTGATCTTAAATACAAAAACTTAATTTTCTTTGTTTCCCTTATTTATTATTATTTTCTGGGTTAATAAATATCCTAGACTCTAAGTTATTGCATGAATAGTATCCTGAATACTGAACTTTTGAAATGTGTAAAAACTCTCATTAACTTTTAAGTTCTGAGCACATGAAAACCCCACCGTTAAGTTGGAAAAAAAGGTAGTGATTTTCAAAAGTCAGGATAAGTGCTATATCAACGTGTGACTAGGCCTACAACTATAAAAGTAATGACCATTTTTTTCAACTTAACGGCGAGGTTGCAATTGTTCAAAATTTTGAAGTTGAGTGGAATTTTATAATTTAAAATTCAAGATGCTATTCGTACAATAGTTTAGAGTTTAGAATGTTTATTAATCTTTGTTTTTAAATTACTCCTATTTATATAATCAATATATAAAAATAGTTTCTTATGTAAATAATTAAAATGGGATTTTTAGAGAAACTACTTACATATTTTATAAATAACTGGCTTACCTAATTTCTTTAATCTATATGAATTAGTTAAGTAGCTCCTACATTTAAAATGGGAAGAAATAAAATAAAATAAAATAAATCTATCTTCTTGCAATTATATCTGTATCACCATTTATCTTTCTTCACCTTCAACACATTATTTTTATCCAAGAAAGAACTTAACATCTCGAATAATAGAGAAATATTTGAAGTCATTAATTATCTAGTACGTAGGTCATAGAACCAAAAAAAAAAAAAAAGCTTAATTAATGTCACAGGATCCTCTGGTTCAATATAATATCGAAAGTAGTCTCTATATAAAGATGAAAAAGAAATGGGAAAACGCAATAATAGCTAAGTACTTGTGCTTTGATTGCATTTTGTTTTTAACCTCTATAGTTTTATTTTGCTGTTTTCGATATCTTCAGTTTCCTAAATCTGCAATGTTAATCTCTATAATTTAAAAAATGAATATAAAGACTATGATGAGATGGCATTGATGATGGGGGTAATTAAATTGGTTGTGACTCTATTAACTTCTTTGTTGACATGATAAAAATATATTGATGACATGACAAATAAATTGCCCAAGTATGAAAAAAATAAAGCTAAATGAAAAAGAAAATTTCATATGTGCATTAAACAGAATGTAAGAGATAGAAGCAAGATTAAATAACATGCCAACAAAAAAGTCAACAGAGCTACACACATGTCAGCAAAATTAACTGTCAGTTCCAACTCATGGTCCTTATGTGCATTTTAAAAACTATAAGAACTAACATTCCAAACAAATAAAAAAGCAAATAATAAAATGCAATAAAACTAGAAGAAATAAAAATAAAACGTAATCAAAGTAGAAAAACCTACTGTTGTATTTTTCCCAAAAGAAATCCTTTAAAAGTAACGAATTAAAAGTAAACTTTTCTCTTAATAATCGAATAAATAAATCAACACATGCGTACATGCATATTTATTTATGTAAGTAAGAATGTTAGTATAGCCATAGGTAAATAATTTTGTGAATGTTCATGCAGGATTTAGAAAAGAAGAACGTGGTGGCAGCTCAGTCCCTTAGGAATCAATTAATAGGGTGCACTGTGATGGCCACCACGTCGATCCTTTTAGCTGCAGGTCTAGCAGCCGTGATAAGCACCACTTACAACGCCAAGAAGCCTCTAAACGACGCCGTATACGGAGCCGAGTACAACGAATTCGTGGTGTCCCTCAAGTACGTCACCGTCCTCACCATCTTCATCTTCTCCTTCGTCTGTTACTCTCTCTCCATCAGGCTCCTCAACCAAGTGGGGATCCTCATATGTGCTCCACGAGACGACGTCGTTGTGGCGTCCACTGTGACCCCAAACTACTTGACTGACCTCTTGGAAAAGGGCAGTACGCTCAACATTGTGGGAAATAGGCTTTTCTTTTCGGCTTTGCCTCTTTTGCTTTGGATCTTCGGACCTATCCTCGTTTTCCTCTGCGATGTTGCTGTTTTGCCTGTGCTATACCATTTTGACGTTGTTGGTGAGAGCTATGACGGCAAAGGAAAAATGGAGATGATCACCGAAATGAAACATGAGCTTGTATGACCTTTTAACTAGATTTCGATCGAGTTTTGTGCTTTACACGAAACTCCACGATGTTCACGATCTATTAATAGTGTGATTTGCAATAAATTTTATATATTGATCTCAATTGTATGAATATTCATGCATTATTATTGCATACAATAAGCGAATAAAACTTGTTAAACTAAGAGTCTAAGATTATTGTCTATCCAATTTAATTAGTGCATCTATCTCTAACTCTGTATTGAAAGAGACTATGAGTATGTTTGAAACTGTTTTTACTTTATTGTTTTCAAAATTGATTTCTTGTAAAACATGTTTTGAAAATAAAAAAATAATAAAAATAAATGTTTTTTTAATTTTTTCTTATTCTTCAAAATAATAATATCAGAACAACTAAAAAATATTTTCATTTTTCTATTTTTTAAAACAATATTTTTTTATTTTTTAAAAATACTTTTTGAAAACATGTTGTCAGACATTTTTTTTTGCTCTTTTATTATGAAAAACAGAAATTATTCACAAAATAAGTTGCCAAACAGGCCTTATATTTGCAAACTTCAAATTCTTGTACTATTTTAATCAAATTTTACACTTAAACTAGGCCTCTCAAGTATCAACAAAACAAACAAATCAACTAAGAGAGGATTAAAGTAAACACTTGTGTGTGTGTGTGTGTGTGTGTACACTATATTTTATTCGAGTATTTTTGTGTGTGTATACACTGTATTTTATTCGGGTATTTTTAAATATAAAAATAATAATAAATTTAACTAAAAAATAAACTTTTAATAATATAGATAAAATAAAAAAATCTTTAATTAATAGGGTTTAATTTTATTTCAACCTAAATATCTTTTGTTGGTTAGAATTTTATTTCTTTTAGTTCATTAAAACAACTAAAAAATATAATAAATATAAAAAAAAGAAATTTTAATCCTTTAAGGATTACTTTTCCAAAAAAAAAACAAGAGAGGAAATATACAAAATATTTGAACCCATATCAAATTTTAAAAGAAGAAAGGGAGAAGAAACAGGAAAACCAAGAGAATGAAGCTCAAAATGTTTTCAAATTTTTATTCCCTTACTCCATGAGCTCCTCCAACTCCAAAACCCTAGCTCACAAAGCTCTTAATGGGAGCTCAAAATATAAATTAATGCATTTTGGGTCAAGCCAACATCATTTATTCATCAAGCCCTAACTTTTTCAACTAATCAAAATGTTTCGTTTTGCTGTTGGCGAAGTCACGACTTTGCTTTGCTTTGTATGCTTCTTCCCCTTAGCATGACTAATTACCTTTGTACTTGATTTCTTTATCTTGAAACCTTCCAAAAATATTAACAAAACACCATAAATGTTTCCAACCAAACATTAAACGATAATAACATAAATTAGCATGAAAATACCAAAATAGAACCATTGTTTGAATTTCCACAATAATATGCACATTTTCTAAAATATTTAAAATATGTACAATTGTGCCAAATATTTTAAAATTCAAGGAGAATATGCTCAAATAATATGAAATTATAGAGGTTAACATTTGTATTAAAAATAGAGGAAATGAATCTCCAAATTAACAAATGAAATTAATGTTGTCTTGTTGAATTTACAACTTATTTTTCTAGTTTTAAAATTGGGAACATATATTGCATTATATGAAAATGCTAATTAAGAACTTAAAGATTTTCTTTGCATTTTAAAATTTGTTGAAACTTTACTTGAATAAAATGATTTCTTAAGTGTCATTCACTCTAATGAGTGCAAATTACTCTAAACATATAATTAGTATAAATTTTATCCTTATTTAAAAGTTGAGCAAGTGACAATTCAGTTCTAAATATCAATTAATTTGACTGCTAGTTGAAAAAAGAAATTGTAGAGAAGGACATAGAAAATTTAAAGAACTTAATTAATATTAATTTTTTTATAAGGTTATTTTTTGTAATTTGTTTGTAAATATTATTATTATCTAAAAGTCTTCACACATAATTTACAAGTCATCTATAAATTTTTAAAAAATTAGTTTAAGCTGTTAATATTTAAAAAATAATTTATAAATTTTGGATGAATATCTATAAATAATAATATTTAAATATTTAATATTTTAAAAATATTTATGAAATTTTATTTTAATAGACTTCAAAGCATCCAGCACTTTTGAAAAAAGAGTTCAAGGTAAATTAGTATTAAAAAATATCATCAGTCTTATCTTCCATTGCGCATGGGCCCCATGTACATGGTACATTAGCAAAAAAATGCCAACAAGAGAGTAATGGATCAAAAATTGGGGAAATTATCGCACTTATTAATATGGGTGGATTTGTGAGTAATAAGAATATTTCTTCCATTACCGATTCTTCACTCAAGCTTTATCAACTACAAATTTACAATATTAGCACGAAATAGATTCTTCACTCAAGTTTATCAATTATCAACAATTATAACATCTATTTTTTGTGGTTGATCATGAAGATATTTCCTCCACTCTAGTTTTGCATTCCCTTAAAAAATCTTACATTTAATATTCATTTTACACCCCCCCTTAATTTTATAGACATCGTATTACTTAAAAGCAGTAATAAATAATACAATTTACGCAAATTCTATATTAAAAAAAATTGATGATAGCAAAATATTCAAGTATGTCAAGGTTACAAATGTCTGTTTGTCGCAATTACAATGTGAATCATAGATTTGGATATGAAGTTTTCTCCCGTATCTTAGTTATCTGGCAAGGACCGGGCTAAGTGAGAAATAAATTAAATTAAAGGAATAACAAATTAAAGTATACAGAACCCTTTTGATTATTTCGATTAATTATATGTATCTTTTATGTGTCTATGCTCAAGATTTTAATTTGATTAGTTTCAATGAATCATTATGGAATTTAATAGTGGTTCACGAACACATATTCTATATTCTGTATTTTCATAGGATTGCTTATAAATTTTTTTGCTGTCTTGTGCTTTTTTCATACTTTCTAATAATTATACAAGCAGTCTAAGAATTCAAAAATTAAATAATAATATTAATATTAATAATAGCATATTAAAAAATAGCGAGAGTTGGTACCATAATTAAAATTCTCACCAACTAATTGGGTGTGGCACACAGATAATAGTGGTCTGGTCCCTGAAATATTATTTCAGAGTTCAATTTTTAAAGATGTATGTGGAGAGCATCGCTTGGGAGAAAACAACCCTGAAATAGGATTCAAATTTTTCAAAATATTAGTCTCATAACTATAGGCTGTGGGGATACTTTGGAAAATTAAAGAAAAAACGTTTCCACCTAATCTTATAAATTTATAAATTATAGACTGATATTTACTTTTAAAACAATCCGCCAGTAGTTTATATTTTTTTTAATGCTTGTCCAAATTTTATTTTTTTCCTGTCAAATGAGCCATATTCTCCTAAACTATTATTCATCATTTGTCAATTAAAGAAATCTAGTTTTGAACTAAACTAGTTGGTGGCGGAGAAAGAAAAATTAAACTAGCTGGATTAGATTTTATACATTATACAGAATTTAAAATTATGAGACATACCCCCTCCGTTGACAAATATAGCACATCTTGTTTTAGGTTCGATATTTAAAAATACAATATATTTTTAGGTTTTCAATGTGAAATTGATGGGTTTTTTTTTTTCTAAAAAAAACCTTAAAAAATAAACTACTCATCTATTTACATTTAAATGAGACACTATATTAAAAGAAATGAAAAGATTATATCATTTTAAAAATAATTAACTGAATTATTGGGGAATATAATTTGATTAAAAATATTTTATATTTTTAAATAGAGGCAATAGTATTTACTGTTTGTAAATAATGACTTACTATAAATTTTTTATTTGATATAAATGAATTATTGATTTGGTAAATAAAAAATTTAATAAGAGTCATTGAATGATATGACTCTAATTTTGGTTAACACTAATGGCGATTCATTTGATTTGTCCTAATATAATTGACAGCTAAAAAAACGATTATACATGTTCTGTATTATTTAAAAATAAGAAAATTCCATCAAATGCATCCCAATCTTTTGATCCAACGGTATAAATAAATATCAATGTCCAAATTTTGGTAAGTTTGTCATACAGTGTCCCAAATAAAATTACCTAAAAATCAAAATCCAATGCAAGGAATCTCCAGAAAATTGTGTATCTTCAATTTTCTTTTCTTTTCACACTATTTTACACTATAAATTCATACCAAGTGCTGAGTCTGAAAACTGAGGAAACATAAAGGGATACCAGGAAAAAAAAAAAAAAAATTGACCTTAAAGCGACGATCAAAGCAAAGAGAAGTCAAGAAGAAGAAGAAGGAATGGAATGGGAGAAGTATTACCTGGATGCGATTCTGGTGCCTTTGGGGTTTGTAATAACAATTTCTTATTATGTTTGGTTATGGCATAACGTTCGAACACAGCCTTTCAGCACCACCATTAGAATCAACTCTCATATCCGACGCATCTGGGTTCCTTCCTTCTTGAAGGTAATCATAATTATCTCTTTCAAAACAACTTTGTCAGTTATAAGTCCCTATAATATTATTTATATTAGTTATTGGTTATTGCCATCTTTTTTAATTATAGTTCTCATTCAAGTTTTTTTCCGGGGCCTCATTCTTATCAAAGGTTTGAGTAAAATGTCATATATGCCTGATGATAGATCTACGGTTATTTTCTGGGGGACAGATTTTCTTCTTCTTCTTCTTCTACTTATGAGGTGACAAGATTAGCTACAATATTTTCAAGGAGAATTTCAACTAAGGAACAAGAATGTGACTTAATTACTAATAGGTCGCAAAAAAATCTGAAATTTTAGTAGCTTAGTCTAGGAGGACTGAAGTTAAAATAATTTTAAAGGTAAAACGATCAAAGTATCATTTACTTATTAAGTGTCCGAGATGCAGAATCATTAATTATTAAATTTTTTACTTCATTTGTTAATTTATCAATATGAGTTGTAAATTATTTTATCAGTTTGCCAAACAAAGAACAATATCAGTTGTTAATTTATTAACTTTACTTGTGAAGTTATTAACATTAGTTATTAGTTACACGACGTAATGTTTGTAAATTAACCAGTAAAGTTGATAATTCAATAAATGATATTGTTATTTGTAATTGAATAATTAATGTCAAGTTTTGTATAATTATTGATGGGTCAATTCATAAAATTTGTAAATCATATTTGTAAATTAATAAGTGAAGTATAAAAATTAATAACAAATGATTTTGCATGTTAGACAAAATTAACAAGTGAAAGGTATTTTAATTTTTTCACCTTTAAAATTATTTCCACTTCAATGCTCTGGGATTGAACTGAAGTTTTAAATTTTTTTGAGATCCGTTAGTAATTAAGTCACTTCTCTAATCATAAGTTGAAATTCTCCCTTTTTTTTAATTAACCAACTTTTAAAACATGGCTTATATTTAGACTGAGGTAAATATTTGTAAATTTGTTGTTGTGTGCTGCTACTGTTGACTAAATTGATGGGTATTTGCGGACCACCGATCGACACCCATTGATTGGTGGCCGAAAGCCATTGATCGGTGGCTGGTGTTGGCGAATGTTGATCGATCACTTGTCAGCATTGACTAATCAAAAATAATTTTTTAACAATATTTTTATTAAAATATTTTGTCCTTTAATATTTACATGTTAAACACAGTAGATTTACAAGTAAATCTTTCATATGTACAAGTAAAAATTTTTAAAAATATTTTTTTAATATTTACAAGTCAACCTCAGATTTACAATTAAATTTAAGTAAAGTTTGCATTGATTCTTACTTTAAATTATAAGTCTAGGATCATTCATTTTGGTGCAATATTCCTTTTTAATATTTTAAAGAAGTGCAATTTGTCCCCCACCATTAACAGATATTAATTTTAATTATTAATTAACTAAAAAATTACAGAAAAAAATAAAAAATTATAAAAAAGTAGGCGTAATAATTAATTTCATGGAGACTCTATATTAGATCAAGCATTAAATAAAAAATTTCACTTGTGAATTACAAAGTTTCCCTTGCAAATTTTAAAGTTACAATTGCAAATGAAAGCCATAGTAATAGGGGTAGCATAGTCTTTGCATGCCAACCACAAATTATTTTTTAAGGGACTTGAGTGTAGTGTCTCAACCTTGTGATACTTATTCGTAAATAAGTCTGTTGAATGGGATCTATTCGTAACTTTTCCCTTTAAATTTCAATTGATCAGGCGTGTTTCTCCCGCTATTATGAATTGAACTGCACTTATTTGGTAGATATTAAATAGGGAGAGAGAAAGAGAGTAAATAGAATAAAGAGGGAAAGAAAATATTGGAATAAGTATAATTAATAAAATTTTATTTTTGTCAAATATTTTATACCAAATGACCTTGAAATATGTTTTATAATTTGATATAGAGGAATTATAAATTTTATAACATATATATATATATATGTATACGTATATATTATAATTTTTCTACAAACAGATATTTATGTGTTTTAACTTTTAAGAGATGTGATTTTGTTTCATTATGTAGGGGATGAGGAAAAAATCATTAATTTCATATGAATAATAATAACCTTATATATAATAAAATTTAATATTTTAACATATTATTTATTTAATTTCTATTTTATACTACTAATAAAATAAAAATATAATTACAAATTATTTTATCCAATCTTAAATTTGACTTCTAAAATTATTAAATCTACAATAATATTAAAATTTTAAACTACACTCAAATATAAGAAATTGGGGGAGGTAGAGGGGTTGGAACGTAAAAAATTTATGGGTAAATTTAGAAATAAAATTTTCTCACCAAACATATGTTGGAATGAAACATGAGTCCCACGTATGATTTTCTTCCCAATTTACTTTCCTTCACACTTATCCCCCATTCCAAGCATAACATTCATGATCCAAAGGAACGTACAAGTAAAATAATTTTTGCTGGCGTGTGTTGCAGGATTTAGAAAAGAAGAACATCTTGGCAGTTCTGTGCCTTCGGAATCTGACGATGGGGTGCACTCTTATGGCCACCACATCGATCGTCCTATCAGCAGGTCTCGCGACGGTGATAAGCAGCATCTACAGCGTGAAGAAGCCTCTAAACGACGCCGTCTATGGAACCGATGAGCACAATGAATACTTGTCGTCCCTCAAGTATGTCATCATCCTCACCTTCTTCATATTCTCCTTCTTCTGTCACTGTCTGTCCATCAGGATGTTCAGCCAATTGAGTACTCTCATTTGCACTCCACGAGACGACGTCGTTGTGGCGTCCTTGGTGACCCCAAACTACTTGACTGACCTCTTGGAGAAGGGCTCTTTGCTCAACACTGTGGGAAATAGGCTTTTCTATTCGGCTCTACCTCTTTTGCTTTGGATCTTTGGACCCATCCTCGTTTTTCTCTGCAACATTGCTATTTTGTCTGTGCTTTACAACTTGGACTTTGTTGGTGGGAGCTATGACGTGAAAGCGAAGGTGGAGACCATAAGTGACGAAGGAGATACCGAGCTTGTATGACCTTTCAGCCAGATCTTCAGTTTTGCGCATTGCATGAAGCTCGATGGCCTTCGTAATCCATGGATAATGTGACTTACAATAAAAAAAAAATATAATTATTGGTTTGTGTAATTTTAATATGTTTTGGTGTTAGTCTCACTTTTTTTCCATTGCTTCTAAGTCCCTTAAATTTCATCAATATAGAACGTTAGTCTTTATCATCAATGTCTATCTAATTTAATTAGTTACTCTTACTCAAACCACGCATTTAATATAGTTGGAGATATGAATGTAGGCATAGTAGTAGGTGTCACCTCTGCACATATAGCTTTCTCTAACATGAAGCAGCGCCATAAACTGTAGAGAGAAGCTAGCTCTCTCTTCCCTTCCCAATAGTCCTCAGTCGTCTAATAATATAATAAATACATGATTTCATTTTGATTATTTTTTACTATTTAAAAATATTATAGGATTATGTATGGTATTATTAATTCTTTTAGATTATAAAGTTATTTTAACAAAATCATTTATTTTAAATATTAAAAATTAAAAGCTAAAAATATATATATTTATATACTATTATTTTTTATAAATTTGACCCACCACTACTATTTGTACCCTAGTTCCTCCTATGGTTGGCGGTGGTAACAATAGTAAGAGCAATTCAAAGAGAGCCTATATAAATTCTCATATAAATGAATCATTTAATCATCTAAAACAAAAACCTGAAATGATTTCTCAAATGAGTGATTCTCAGATAAATAAATCACTAAGCAAAAAACTTAAATGATAACTTGAGTACTGTTCGTGATTCTCAGAGAAATGAATCACTATATAAGGATGATTCTCAAATAAATGAATCACTAAACAAACAAATCTAGGTGATTCTCGAAGAAATGAAATACTAGTAAAAAAAACTTTACAAAAATAAGCGTAGTCAAATAAAGAATATTCTAGAAACGCACAACGAAGAATTGTGCTGTGTTTATTCAGTCACCATCTAAGGGTTTATCTAAAACAAAATGAAATATCCTAATAAATATCAAATCAATCTAAAATAATTACGATAAATATGATCAGTCGATCTAAACAGAAATCATAAATAAATTATAATTCGGAAAGCACATTTAACATTGCAAAGTGGCCCATCAGTTTGGAAAATCGAAAGCTGTGATTGAATTGGGAGGAAGCGTGACAGTTGTATCTTTTCCAACATTCTCTAGCGGACTTTGCACCAGTACAATCTGCACATAAAAAAACACGTGTGAAATATTTTTCAGAAAAAAAAAACTAAATTTCCATAAACCAATTTTAATAAAATGATATATTAATAGGACATTGCATGGGATGTACCTTTGTAGGCTCTTCAAAGGAATTTTCGTCCTTTACATTGCTAGATGTGAGCACTGTCTTTGTTGCTTTAGACAGTTTCACACTTGAGTCTAAACCATTGAAAGTGATCTTGAGAGTTGTAGGATTGTTGTTGAAGTTCACAACCTACATAAATATTATTTCAAATGAAAAAGATTAAGGGCATATTCGGCAACATGTTTTGGAAACAAAAAAATAACTATTGTTCTGAAATAGAAAAAAATAAAAGAAACATCTTATAACTGTTTTAAAATTATTGTTCTGAAGAATAAGTAAAAATTTAAAAAAAACTCATTTTTATTATTTTTTTTTGACAAAATATCAATTCTTAAAACAATAAAATAAAAATAATTTCAAACAGACTCTAAACTTTTTATTCCTTTTAATCTACTAATCAGATCACCATGCATGGGGTAACTAGATACGTACCTTTACTCTGATGTAACTTTTATTGTCTGTTGAACTTGTATAAGTAACTGCAGATGCAACAACTGAAGGAGGAGCTTGAAGTGTTGAGTTCAAATACATTGCTCCACTGGATTCTGAGAATAGCTTTTGTAAATAATAGCTTGGAGTTCCATAACTTTGATGAGAATCAAACACGATAGCATCGGGTAGCCACCTATATATATAATTATTAGAAAACAATTATCATAAATCTTAATAGTGTAAACAGATAAGCAAGATACCTCATACTAAAATGGATAACAAAATATTACCTCTTATCATTTGTATTGACAAAGAGTGGTGCATAGCTAACCATTTCAACAACCTCACTGTTTGGGAGACAAAAAAAATGAAAATAATTAACTAGTGGTTAGCTAACACACTAGCTAGGTATGAAATTTCTTATAATTTGGTGGTAACATACCTATTCTTCTCTAATCCCATAAGGAATGCAGCTTCACCCAATGCAGATAAGAGAGTTCCATTTCCAGCATCTTCCTTCCAAACAGCATATTCACTGACAAAAGCCTTAGGGCCGGAATGTGGCATATTATCGAACTTGGTATACATTGAGAATATATCCTTAGCATTTGTGTATATATGATAGTCATACAACTCAGCCAAATGCTTCAAGGGTTTTTTGGTAGCATCACAATTTGATATGATTTGCATATCTGGATATGCACGCTTTATAGCACTATAGAATTTGAGGTAGTTTCCTTGATAATTTTCCTTTTCACAATCTTCATTTCCAATGGCAACATATCGTAAATCAAAAGGTTTGGGATGACCTAAAGAAGCTCTAAGTTTACCCCATCTTGATGTTGTAGGACCTCTTGCAAATTCAATACCATCAAGAGCTTCCTAAAATTTAATTGGCATACACAAAATAAATTAAATTAACTTATTGAAAATGATTGATTGGGAAAAGGATTAAAAAAAATATGAGTTATACCTGAACCATAGGATCAACATTACTAGTATTGACTTGATCATGATGACTAATACCATTGTTAAATACCCATATCGGAGCAGTACCAAGGTCCTCAGATAACTGTTTCAAAACAATAGCTAAGGTGTTTAATTTTTAATTATAATAACAATATTAAGTCTAAAAATTGAGAATGAAAAGACACGTACCTGAAGAAATTCTAAATAACCAAATCCATCATCAACCCAATAACCCCACATATCATTAAAATGACCAGGTCTCGTCTCCCATGGTCCGATGGTTTCCTTCCACCTAAATGCATTTCTCAAATAATTACCTTCAACATAACAACCACCTAATCCAAAAGGAAAAAAAATTAGATTAAAAAGACGCAAAAATGAATTTGACAAAAGTTTTTTTTTAAGTTTAAGAATAATTTTCTATATCAATTCAACTCTTACCAGGAAATCTAAGAAAAGTTGGTTTCAAATCAGCCACCTTTTGAAAAAGGTCTTTTCTGAAGCCATGTCCCTAATTAAAAAAAAAAAGGAAAAAAATATAGAATATATGTTACAAAAATGAACATGGTTCATTATATTATCTTTAATATTCTTAAAGGTTAATATTTTATTATGTATTGAGGACCTTGTGTGTGTCTAAAGGCATCGCTGAGACTTGATCCAACCAAATAACTCCTTTTTGGTTCGTTGTCAATTGAAGGCTTGCTTCAACATCCGATGCTGTAGCTTTCAGAATAGTCTCGAACTTTTTCCACGTTACAACATAAGTTGCAAAAGCCCTACGAATGAAATAAAATAAAATAAAATGCAATTACCTAATCATAAATTTTAATGTGTTATTGTATCCATAAACAGTAAGTGACAGTGAACACACACACACACACACACGCACACATATAATATGAAATTGTAATCACTTGATGTTATTTGAAGCCAACTCTTTTCCATCTGCTCCAGTAAAAGCCACTTTCAAATTAACTGGTCCCAAGGCACGAAGATAGAATACAACTCTATATTCCTTCCCTTTCTCAATATTCTGAAAGAAGAACAAAAAATTTGTGATATAAAATATATAATCAAAAAAATATTTCTTTATATATATATATATATATTGAGCGAAAAAGAAGCTCACCATGCCCCAAAAACCAGGGTTAGAGAGACCAACACCATTAGGGCATTTAGCAGGATAAGGACAATGAATATCCAATCTAACAGCAATTTTATTCTTAGGAAACAATGAGGCAGCTTCAATTTGGACTTCAATGTTTGATTTATCTCCAATTATTTTCCATGGAGAAATATTTTCATGAAGTGGTGAGCCTCCAGCTTCAAAACCTAGACCCATATATGAACAGTACAGGAATTTTAATTAACTTCATATGCTTGATTATATGACTAACTTAAAAAAGGATTTTTATCAGAGTGATTCTAGAGATTAGTTGTGTACCTCTGTTGTCAACAAGTTCTGCCCACAACCCTCCAGCTCCAGCATGATTAATTTCCTGCAAAATAATTAATTGATAATTTCAAAAACCGTGTGAAATATGCATATATAATGATTAATATTGCATGAATCGTTTACCTCAAAAAATACTCCGAAAAAATATTTGGAGATTGGCTTCCCAGAACCAGCATCTACAACTAATGTAGAAGTATCATTATTGCTGTTAGCAAGGCTTTGAAATAGAAGAGAATGAGAGAAAGTTATGAACAAAATAGCACAACATGTAAATTTTAAAGAAGCCATTGATGTGAACTACTTCTAACTTTGAATTTAGTGTTGGCTGTCTCGGGTATTTGTAGTTGTTTAAATAGACTTGTTTTTATTAATTAATAAATTTTAAAGTATTATTAGATTTAGAGCTTATTATATAACCCCTAGATTTTTGGTCGCATGTTGCTGCAATCATGCTTAACTTTTTTAATATACTTGTTCCATTATACATATGTGATAGAATTTTGATATTTGATATTGAACATACTCTTAAGTTTTGTGCTAATAAGATAGTGGCAATTAAGATGAAAATGAGTTAGATCGAGAAATAAAAAGATAAATGTTAAAGGATCAAAACTTCAAAAGATTGAATTAAATTTAAATCAGGACTAAAAGATTTGAAAGTCTAAAATAAAAATCAAAGATGTTTTGGTAAATTATTAGTCTCAAAAATTTGTTATTCTCATTTCATGATTTACAATCATAAAAATAAGAATTTCAACTTAAATTTATTAATTTGTGAAACAAAAACTTGTCAAACATATCACGATTTTCAGTCATTTGCTATTCGCATATCCTTATTTACAATTATTAAAATGAAAATTTTAAATTAATATTAATTTCAGAAGAAAAATAATTTTCAAGTAATGGTATGTTTCACAAGTTTTTTTATACATAATTTGAGAATCTCACTTGCAAATTTTTTTTATAAGAATTTCAAATCATCAAATGATAGTTTCAAATTGTTATACCAATTCACTAAATAATTTTTGTTATTATTTTAGATTTTCAAATAATTTAATATAAGTTTAATTAAATTTAATCCTTTAATGTCATTCCCACCTATTGTTTAGTAATTCTGTCCCCTTGGTATCCTAAAATCATGTCGAATCCATGCTTTCAATATATAATAAATAAATTTAAACTATACAAATGCATGAGTAATATTTTAATTGCAAAATATTTTTAAGTAATTTTGTCCCCTCAATATTCCAAAATCATGTCGAATCCATGCTTTAAATATATAATGGTTAAACGCGGTGCTTTCCATTTCCGATGTTATATTATAATGAATGTGACCAATGAAAATAATTTTGTTTTGGAGAATAATCTACTTAACATTTTAATTAGTTATAATTTGACTTTATTTCTAATGATAAAATTCAAAGTCTTAGTTTCCTTTGTTTAAAAGTGTGTTTGGTTCAAGGGAGAAGAGAGGAGAGCTTTAATATTATCTTATTTAGTTTTGTTGGAAAAGAGAAGAGGGAAGGTAATAATTAATTTACTATTATATCCCTATACATTAGTTTAAAAATTTTAAATTGTTCCTTTAAAAAATAATTTTACACCTCAATTTAAATTGTATAATTTCTTAAAAATTCACTTTCATTCTATCATATTGTCAATATGTGAATAAAAAAAATTAAACAAATAATTATAACAATATCAATTTTTTATAAAAAAACAAATAATCCCCTTAAATATATATTAAATTGTAATTTTTTTTAAAAAATTCAATGAGATCAGTCGAGGTCTGAAAGTGAAATACAATTTGATATGAAATTTTTTTTAGCTATAACTATACTTAAAATATTAAAAAAAATAGATAAGGGTAAAATAGTAAAAAAATAGCTTCCTTTCAAAAAAATTTCAATTTGATGGTAGCAACATGAGGGGAGGGGAGGGGAGGGAAAGGGAAGGGTTATTTTCGTTCCCCTTTCCCTCCAAAATTTTTTAACCAAATGAGGGGAGAGGAGCATCCCCTCCAAAACTCCAACCAAACACATCTTAAGAGTTGAATCAGCTTATAAAGCTTGGGCCAATTTTTTTAAAAAGAACATTGATGATTTGATATTTTTAATATTATCATAATCAATATTTTTAACATAATTATTATATCAATTAAAAGTGCTAGATAATAATTTTTATAACCATGTAGGCAGATGCAATCAATTGATAAATGTCCTTTTAAACTTTGCAATTCACCATGCAGAATGTAAAAAGTCATTTTCCCGTAAATATTTAAAATTCATGATATCAGGAATTGTTTAAATTGTAACTTCTAACCTCACCCATTAACTCTAGCTAGCTGAATTATTTGAATTTGTTTATCTAAAATATTTGAATCTATTTGAATTTATTTAGGGCCTTAGATTTTGCATTTAAAATTAATATTTTTAATTCTTATTTTATATATAGGTGTAGAAAAGAACCTATTCCTTTATTTTCGTATTCTATTGTTTGAATACGAAAATTTAAATTTTTTTCATATTCTATATTACTTTACTTTGGATTTTTTGGATTTCATATTTTGTATTTTAGATTATTCTATCGTTTGAATTGTTATTCAGATTTTATATATTTTATTTAGATATTTTGAATTTTATATTTTAAAATCAAGGAAATTTATCTTATGGGTGTCGTTTTATTTATATTATTTAGATTTAGTTATGCTATTTTGAAGGAAAAATATATTGATCTTGAAATTTGAAGATATTCTCGCGGTTTTGATACGGCATGAGTAAAGATTTAGTCTTTATTTCTCCAAAAGCAGGGGGGCGAAAGAAAGATATGATTCGTTATCTTTCTGTATAGATGGCTATGCCTATACGTAGCTCCTAATTTCTGTGAATACGAAAATAAGTAATATATAGATAATGTTCAATGAATATATATATATATATATATATATATACACATACATGAAGCTGTAGATTTGTGCCAGGTAAGATCTCCAAAGATATTCTTGAAAATCCAAAAAAAAAAAATCAATTTGTGTTTCACAAGCATGCTATTTTAAAAATAATGTTAGACTATGTTATATATAAAATAAAATCATGACTTCTTTAATAAATAAATAATCTCGTACATTAATAACCATATTTAACTTCCACTGTCAATAATTACGCACTTGTACCCATTACCACAGTCAATAATTGGTTTCATGTTTTTCTTTTTTTAATCATGAAAAGTTCTGGTGTGTTAGATCCTAAAAGCTCATCATGATTAGTGTATATACAAGCTCAAATAGCAATCACAGATATACTTAATAATATATCATCCATCAATTACGTTTTTACATCAATAACATAATTTGATGCCATAATATTGCGGATTATTAACCAAATCCTTATCAATTGAATCAATACTTGTTAGTAGTTTCATGTTGTTAAAGTCTTTTGAGCATTGATTTTGGCTTGGAGTTTCTAAATTTCAGTCAGCGCGAATTTGATCAAAGCTGTTTAAATTGATTGCTTTACAGACGTAGATTAAAATTGATTGCAATTTCAAGCAAGATGGCCTAACGAGTGGACTCGATTCTTGTGGGCCTCGCATGTGGACTCTGGCCCATTGAAAAAAAATAAGAAAAATTAATATTTTACTTATTCAACTTTTAAGTCACCTGTAACTCAATCCCTCAATTATGACTCGCTGTAATTTAATCCCTCAACTATGACTCAGTCCCTCAACTTTTGAATCACTTACAAATTAATCTCTTAACTTTTGTTAATTTTTTTTTCATATTAGCTTATATCTCACATCAATGAGTAAGAGAAGGGTATTTTAAAATAATATATGAGCTTTTTTATCCTTTTTATTTGATAAAAAATTTAAAAAAATTAAAAAATAAGGACCAAATTATAAGTAAATCAAAAGTTGAGGGACTGAGTCGCAGCGAGTTATAGTTGAGGGACCGAGTTACAAGTAAATTAAAAGTTGAAGGATTAAAAGATTAATTCTTTCAAAAAAAATATATAAGAAAACAAATTAATAAAAATTAAATTTGAGATATCAAATCAATAATTAAAACAAACTTGAAAATTAAAAGTTTTATTATCCTAAATTATTTTTTATATAATTATTCGTTATACATGGACCAAGTTGAATAGGACCACGTTGACGACAAAACTCTCATAATAAATATTTAATGTAGCTACATATTACTAAACTTAAATTTAAAATCAATAGTTAACTTAACACAACCCGCCAATTGAGTTACGTGCTCACTATCCTAAAATATATTTGCATAAATGTATTTCTCCTTCTTTTTCTCCAAAAAAAAAATCTCCTTGGCCTAAAGTTTTTTTTTTTTTAATTATGCTGTGTCAAACTCCCCTGTTCTTTTTCGTTTTGGCAAATGATTCTATTTGCTTGTTTATTATATTCTTGTTGAAATTAAATATCTGTCTGTAATTTGTCTTAAGAATTTTTTTTGGTTGTTTAAGAATTTTTTTTTTACTTTTTAATAATTGTGATTGTGATGACTATCATTTTTTCATTTCTTTGTTACAGATGATTCATGAGTAACTATATATAAATAAAATTAAATAGCTTTGTACGTAATTTATGCATGGCAAGACTTGGATGTGGCGACGGGGCTGCTCTTTAATAGTTGCTTTAAATTAATATACATTAATCTCTGATCATTATTATAATCAGCGGAGTCTAATCTTGGCTTTCCCAGATACCTATATCCAAAAGCTCCAAGGTAGATTACGGAAAAAAGTGAAACGAAGAATATGCCCTGAATGAATTAGAACCCGTTTGTTTAAAATTAAAAAATAAGCAATTTTTAAATAATTTAAAAGTTTTATAAAAAAATTATTTTATAGAGATTTTATAAAAATTAGACATTATTTCATATTTAATTACAATAATAATAAAAAAATAATTATTAGTTAGTTATTTTTAAATTTTATGATATCTTGATTTTTGTTTTATAAAAATAATTTATTATTATATTATTTTAAATTTTTATAATAATTTTATGTATCTTGCTTCTTTAAAACACATTCTTTTATTTATCGTATTAAATTATTTTATAAAGCTACTCAAAATAATATGAAATTTATTTTTTTAATTATATTCTTTTTGAAAAGTTTAAAAAAACATAATAAAAATTTATAAAATAAATTTTTTTATCAAAAAATAAGTGATTTTTTATAAAAATAAATTCAAACAAACAGCCTCTTAATCTTATTCGAGACTTATGTAACTGACTCAACTGCACATACAAAAGGCTAGCATAACAA